GCGTTAGGAGAGTGCCTGCCCCACCTGTCCGTCCTCCCTCATTCCAGTTTGAAGGGCTGGGTCCAACTTTAAGCAACCCATAATGCCAGATTCTAGCGTCACTCGGCAAATGTTCAAGCTGCTGCTCCGACACTTCAAAGCTGCTCCCCTAAACACCCACAAACGCACCCTTTCACATCCCTCCTTGCTGCCTGCCTTTACCCTGATGCCAATGACACTCTCAGGCTGCTGACAGGCCATCTCAGCTGCCCACACCACTGATCAAGGTCTTGCTGCCGCCTTGTGCTCCCCTGTCTCCTTGCCTCATCTTATACTTGGATTGCAAGAGCTCTGGGGCAGGGATCTAGCAGACCAGGGTCCACAATGCTTGGCATCACAATAATATAAGTTAATAACCAATCCTATGTCGCATCACATGTAGCACAGTAAGCAGTTCTTTTCGTATGGAAGGAGTTCAGAGAGGATGCTCTGTTGCGAGCAGAAGGAATAAAATGTTGCCAGTGGTCTCTGGGGCAGGTTTCACTGGGTCTGGGTTGAGGAAATGCATTCGTTTGTGATGGGGGTTGACCCCAGTCATCCTAAATGCTACTTTGTTCCTTTTCAAGGTGTACGGTGGTCCGGAGCAGGTGCAGACGCCGCCCCGACAGAGCTGGTCGGCACCGCGGGGGAGACGGTCACGTTTCCGCTCGAGATCCCGGCAGGGGAGACATTAGATAATGTTGGCTGGACGATTGGCACAGAGAGTCTAGCAATCGCGGTACCAGGAGACCCCGCGAGTGTCGTTGTGTCAAACAGGCGCTATAGGGGCCGCCTGCGTGTCCCCAACGCCGGCCTCGCACTGCACATCACCGACCTGAGGCCGGAGGACGCCGGGTCCTACACAGCTAGAGTCACCACGGATAAAAGCGAATTCACTAGGCTCTTCACACTGCGGGTCTACGGTGAGTGCTGGTTTTTCTGTTTATTTGTTTGCTTTTTTATCTTTATCAAAGGTAACTTGACAATGTCAGAGTTAAACAGTCTTTGCCCATGGAGTCTCCATGTCTATCTCTCCCCTACGGTTCAAATGCAACAGCTTAATTAATATTAACTGTCTGGAAGGGCACAGGAATGGGGATGGATACCCTGGCAGGGATGTGAATCCCCCTCCCTGGAAGGGGCAGGATGAGCACTCGCCTTACTGTGCCCGGTCCGCGGGAGCAGTCTCTGCTTTCCCCACGCATCAGCCAAGTGGGGGGCACTGGACAGATCTAGGCTCTGAGCATTACAGCTGTGGCCAGAGTAAAGACACGTCGTGCGGTGCCATTGTCACATCCGCGCTAAGAGCTCACGAGTGTGGTTATTTCTGAGCAAGGACCCTGGATAGAAATATCAGTCACCAGGGGCATCTCATACTAGACACATCCCTGCGGGGGTCTGCCACCCCCAGGGGCCTCCTACAGGGACCATCCAGCATCACCTGAGGGGGGCTGATAGGACTTTATCTTCTCTGCTCTGTCACCTGGTGGTCTCGAGGGCTCTGCGCTCCTGGTAGTGTCTCAGGGAGATGCTTGCAGGAAGGCGAGGTGCTGTTTTCTTCCCTTCACACCTGTATCCTCCCATTTCGGTTCCTTTCCTCTCCCTGCAGAGCGGCTGCCCCAGCCCATGATTCACTGCAATGCCCAAAGCTGTACGAATGGGCTCTGTAACATCACCCTAAGCTGCACCATCCCCAACGGAGGCAGCAAAGTGACCTACAGCTGGAGCATCCCACAGCCCCCCAGTATGACCAGTCAAGGATCCATCGCGGTCATCTCTCACCCAGATCTTCTGATAAACATCACGTGCACGGTGCAGAACCCCGCCAGCAACAGCTCCACAATAGCCTCTGTCGAGGCCCTTTGTGCAGGTAACTCCTTGCATATCAGACTTCTTTTTTTTCTTTTTTAAAGTGCAGGACATTCACAGAAGCATCCACAAAGTCAAAAGCCCAATCTCCAAGCTGCCATGCTCAGATCTTCCCAGGCAATAGTAGAGTGAGGCCCATAATAACATCAGTTATCACTAAGAAGGCAACAGAAATGTTTCCCTAAGAGCTCACTATTATCCTAAGAAGCTAACTTGGTAGCAGTCCTTTAACAGGGACTAAACAAGCAGACAGTCTTCTTTACACCTTGAGGAAGCAGGAGGTTCAATGTAAGCCCATGATTCAAATGTTCAGGCTTCAGGACTTGATTGGACCCAGGGGCCAAGGCTAGACCTGAGGAGAAGCAGCTGTAGCTCGAGTCTGGCCCTTCTTAGGTCTGACTGGGTTGCAAAGGTCATGTTTCTCGAGCTGTTTGGTACTGCTGGCCTGGAGTTTTCAATCAAAATCAACCTGGCCAAAAATGCAGTTTCTGCAAAATTGAAGGTTTGTAATAGAAGATCTAGGGGTTTTCTGTGATGATTTTTTACTGGGGGAAACCCCAATGGAGTGTTAAATCAGTCTGACATCAAAGTGCAACCAGACACTATGATATCTTGTGAGGTCACAGCTGGAAAGCTTCATAAGACCTGTTCTCCCCTATGACTTGGACCACTTCTCCCATAATGCACTGCTGATGGACCCGACTGATGCATTATGGGAGTAACACAGCTGAGGTGCATCATAGCAAGTGACCTTCAAACAGGGAGCTGACTTCACTGCGAGTACAGAGGGCCTTAGTCACTGGGACTACAACCCCGGGGGCATTTCAGCACCCATGCGCAGATGCAATTTAGTGTCCAAGGCACCACAACTCATGCTTCAGGGCAGGTCAGGAGATTCCCTTTGGATCCAAAAAACATCAACATCGCTCTATCACAGAATGCAACTCCCTTTGGGTGTCTCCCAGGTTTGGGCACAGTGGCCTTTCATCCAGCTGTGGGACGAAAGCAAACAAATTTCCTGCCAGAGGGACATTCTTCTCTTTGCTTGGCTCTTAACACTTCAAGCATTTCCAGAACCAGGCATTGCATGGCTCTTCTACCTCCTGCCTCTGCCCAGAGCATGTAAATCAATTAACCCAAGCTTTGGCCCCCAGCATCTACCATCATGCAGAAAAAGCTCCGTCTTGGGCTTGGAGGGGCTGTAAGCTGGCTTGGTTCATCCTTTTGGGGCTACAGATTGGACCCAGGGCTGTTTATGCAAGACTGGAAAGCAGACAGCCCTCTGTGCCCTACCCAAAGCTCGCAGTGAGAGCGGGTAGCAAAAGAACCAGGGTACATACCTCTGCCGGGGCACAGATGGGTGGGTGGAAATGGAGATGGACACAGTACCATAGGGAAAGCTTTGCTGGGCATGCTCATACCCTGGCTCAGGCTGAGACCTGGGTGCCAATCACATGGGGGTAACTGCAATGGAGACTGTTTGCAAATGAAGCAAAGAGTCATCAAGGCTGGAGATGGAGGCTCCAGCAAGAGGAGATGGTGCCTGGCAGTGCTCTCTCCCCGCCGCAGGAGGAAGAAGAGCCAGCCACTGGCTTCCCCTCCTTTACCCAGAAACAGGGGGAACAAACTGGCTGCCACCAGTTCTCTTCCTGTTTCTCCATTGTGGTGTGGAAGTGCGGGTGGGGGAGTTACATGGGCCCGTTTTGGGAACAGCGCCCTTGCAGAAACACTCACTCCATTATCCCTGTTCTTTCCCCATGTTTCCCTTTACCATATGAACGACAGGAAATTCCACGAACTCCACTGATGGTGAGCTACCATCTCATCTGTTTTCAACTGCCTCTTGCTCTCTCAATGGGCTGGATCCAAGTATTATCAACTCTTATAATATCAGCACACTATGTAGAGTGCCACCCACAGCCCAAGCTCTTGACAGCCTGGGCTTAAGCAAGAATCCCACCACAAATCAGCTCCCAGTCCCTGGGGCTGTGGATAAAAGCTTACAAACGTGACCATTAAAGAGCTTAAGAATCTGATGGGAAAAGAAAATAGACCCTTCTTATTCACACCACATGGTACCTGGATATTTGGGGTTGGTAATACAAAAGGGCCTAATTCTGGCACGCATAACATAGCTTCACTGACTTTGGTGCTGACTGTCCTGGTTTCCAGCAGCTGGGGATGGAATCAAGTACAAAGGAAGAAAACCCTTTGATCCACTAGAAAATATAATGGCTAAGACAGAAACCTTGTTATATAAAGGGAAAAATGATTCCAGCTATTGGTGTGATCCACTACAGAGCCAGAGCACTGAAAGGCTTGGGAGTAGCATAAAGTATAGGGACGTGATCCTGGGAGGGGATGACCTGCATTGCTGCACTAACTCCTTGCTCATGTCTACTTAGCGCAAAATGAGATAACACCATTGTTGTGTGCTTTCCCCATCACCGCTCACCCTAAGCCCGCTAACTCCCGTATGACACCAGTATCCTCAAACATGCATTGGCCCAAACAGTCAGAGACTCTAATTATGGCGTTAAACTTGTTCGTGCAATAAAGGCCCTTACTTGGCAGGGGAAACACCATGTATCTGGGTTCAAGAAGGCAGTTTTCCTTAAGCATTCCCGGGGATAACTTCTTCTGGCATAGTTTAGTACCTACTGAGGTGCTGGGACTTAATGCCCACTTTATGGAAATGCGAGGCTCTTCCCTAGCTTGCTCCTTCAGCCATATGGCTGAGGGCAGGCAAAACGTGGGGGCATCCGAATCCCAAGCCTCTGGGTTTGGGCCTGCACATAGGAAGCCTGGCAAAAGACATTGGAAACATCTGAAGCCCCTGGTGGGGGTGGAGGATGTTTGCTGGTTGTAGGGCCACTGATGGTTCTGGACCTACCCAAAGATTTGGACTTGATTTGGCTGATTTGGCTTGGAACATGAAACATTTCTTAAAAAAAAGAAAAAAAAAGAAGAGAGTTTGTGCAATAAAGGCGAGCTTTCCCTTCAGCTAACCATGCCCTGTCCACTAACGATGGACGTGCACATGGCATCTGTAGACCTCTCCAGCCCCGCAAGTCAGCCATCGGCCACTTGGGTCTCTGTAGGCAGGGGAAGGGATTCTGCAAGTTACTGATGGCTCCTGGGGCAGGGTGTCGAAAGCCAGCTTGCAGCCCCGCCGCTGTCCTGCTTGGGGGCTAGGGAATGTGCTTTTCTGCTGCAGATCAGGACCATTTTCTTCTGTGTCGCTGAACTATGGATTTTCTCTTTTAAGGACATTCCTCTTCCGCCATTATCATTGTTGTCTGCATTGCAATTGCCATTGGTGTCCTAGGGATCTGTGGTTATGTGTTGTACAGGAGGAAGAAGAAAGGTAAGGAACTACCCAGGTGCGGTGCAGCTGGTTGGCACAAGTGCCCATGACTGTGCAGACTTGTTAACAAAGGGCAGGTCCTTGCCCCTGGGGGCCTTACTGGGCTGCCTTGTCACTGCAAAGGCCAAGCTCACAAAGGGGCACAGTGCTCCAGCAGGCCTTGTGACCAAGCAATGCTGCTGCTATGCTTGCAAAGGGCAGCACCATCCTACGTGGCCCCTCTCTACTCACCAGCTGCAGACAAGACATTTCAGCCAGAGTCCCAACCCCACTGCCCTTTTGCTCCCATGTGGGGAGGCTCGTTCTGCTGGACCTAGAGTGAAACAGGAGGATGAAGGAGCTGTTTGCAGTCTCCTTTAGGACCAGAAGCAAAAGGCCCAAGACACCAAGAGCCAGGCTAGTAAGTCCTGGGCTGGGCTTTGCAATCCCAGAAGAGACTGCTGCTGATCTCCAGCGCCTTTCAGCATCGGTCCAAGTTATCCTCGAGCAGAAGGGCTACAGCTGGGCCTCTTCCACTTCCCTTATTGCCACCCACATCTTCCCCTTTAGCTCAAGGTGGGGGGGGGGGTGACTAGGCAAGGGGTAGTGCAGGGTGGAGTTGGAGATGGTCCCAAATATCTGACCCAGCAGAAAGGTGGCTTTGCTTTGGGCTCTCTCTGTGCTCTAACTGACCTCTGCCTTTTCTTTCCATCTCAGGTAAACATATGAACTTTGAAGGGGAGAGTGAAAAAGGTAAGATTATATCGCCTCTTCCCCCTGCCCCACCCAAAACCCTCTCCATGGACCCTTCTCCCCAACATCTCCCCCATCCACACACAGCATGTTTTACTGCCAAAATCTAATGTTCAAGCCCTTGTCCCTGCGCAAATTTGGAAGAAACAGAGTCTGAGGCTGGACAGGAGCGTTGCAGCCCTCTAGTCTTACCAGTTGCCGCTGCAGTAGCCCCTACAGCTCCAGTCAAGGTCTGGAACCAAAACCGAGGGAACCGTGCCCAGCAACTCCCTGCTTGGGCACAGCTGGAGCCAGCAGCTTAGCCTTGTCCCATGGGCTATAACAAGCTTGGAGCATCTTGTAGATAAAAAATGCTCTCAGTGCTTGGAGGTTTATCGTTCCAGTGTGCATTTGTTCCTGTGTAGAGATGACACTGCCTCCATCGGCTCCCCCCAACTCAGCCGGCACCCACTGGCTGTTCCCCCTTGCAACTCCTCTTACCTCTGCTTTGCCCCACCCAAGACCTGGAGACTCCCTGCTTTCCCTGCCAGGGACTCCTCCCCCTGACAGCCCTCAGCTCCAACCTCCCAGCCTTCACTGGACACAAAGAGGCCTAAAGAGTGAGCTGTAGGGCCTGAGCTACCAGCCCTGCTCAGTACTAGAGAGATGAATGCAAAAGCTGTGGCCAGGCCAGGAAGGCAGGGCCCTGGGCTAACGCCAAGGTGGAGCTGGTTATAAAGCAGGTGCTGTTCTGTTTCTGCAAAGCCGCACAGCTCAGCTGACAACCAGCCTGCGCAGGAGACTACAGCATGTTGCACAGCGTCCTCCTGCAGCCTCTCACCGAGGCTCTTCATCTCTTCTTGCTTTCTATTTTGTTATCTGGTATAAAAGACACCAACTGAAAAGAGACAGCTTTCGCGGACAAAAAAAAAGCCATCAGAGGACAGGGCTGGGAAGCCACAAGGAGTTTACAGACAGCAAAGGGACTAGGGAGAGGGGTTTTGGGTTCTCCCCAACTAAAGGGAAAGACTGGAGAGATGCAACGGAGATTTACACAGCAGGACTGATCCATGCGCAATGACTTACTGGAAACTAAGGGTGGGTTTTGTGGAGCCACGGAAGAATCAGAACCGCACGGCTTGCAGCAAGAACAAGCGTTTTCATGCGGCTGCTTCTGAAGACAAGAGCAAAGCTGACCCCTTCGCCTCGCTCTTGCAAGGCAGGAAGGGGAGACGTGGAGCATCAGAGCAAACATGGCTGCTTCGTACATACGGCTCCCACTTTGGAGAAGCCTCTGGGTCAGACACCTGCTATCAGCAGGGGCCAAGCGGGCAGTTCTGCAGTTTCTGGCCATTCTCGACACAATCCCTTGTCCTAGAGGGGCAGAACATTGGCAGTGCCCTTGATCCCTGTTATACCTGGAGCAAGATGATGTTCCTGGCACTGTGCGGGGTAATTGTGCTTGCTCATGGTGTTTTTAAGAATAGATGAGAGGAGACAAACCCTTGTTTAGGGCGGCTTAGACAGGGCTGATCCTGAGTTAGACTAGATGTGAGCTCCTGAGGGTCCGCTTAGTCTGAGTCTTCCCCGATTCCACGAGCATCTGAGAAGCTAAATGGAAGAAGAGCAGAGCAAGGAAGAAACTGTTGCCGCATTTAACCCACTATGCATTATCAGGCTGCCTCAATGTTTGTACATAATAAAATGTATTTCTCGTTTCCTCTTCCACACCCTTTTGAAACCAACTCCTGTAGACAGGCACCAGACAAAACTGACATTTCCTCCAATAAAAATCTGCTTCCATGCACAGTTGACTTGGGTTCTTTGAATAGGTGAAAATAGTCAGAACTCCTGAGGAGGTGATCTCTTTTATTAGACTAACTAGATAGTTGCAAAAAAAATAAATATATATATTTGCAAGCTTTTGGGCACATGCGCCCTTCCTCAGGCTTAGGAAAGTGCAAGGACTGTAAAATTTCTCCCAGGTGGAAGTGTGCATGTGCCCAAAAGCTTTCAAATAAAAAACTGTTTTGCAACTATCTATTTGCAAGCTTTTGAGCACATGTGCCCTTCCACCTGGGAGAGAAATTTTACAATCTTTGCACTCTCCTATGCCTGAGGAAGGGTGTGTGTGCCTGAAAGCTTGCAAATAAAAACACTTTTTTGCAATATCTAATTGGTCTAATAAAAGATATCACCTCCCCAAGGGTTTTGATTACTTTTGCCTGCAGACCAGCATGGCTACAACCTGTATCCTTGAATAGATGAAGGATTTCAGTGTGAACTACAGCCAGTTGACCCAGGCTAGCTACGCCCCAGGCATTTCTTCCCCCACTACTGTCATTCAGCTACTTCAGAGGGGGGATGTGGCTGCTTCTCAGAACTGCAGAGCAGCCCAGAAGAAAGACTGCACCTAAGAGAAACCGTGTTCCCATCCATGTGGCCAGCACCACAACCGTTTTCACAGCATAACCATTTAGGGGCTGAAAGTGAGAGAGAAAAGATAAAAGCCCTCGGATGTCAAACTGAAAATGCAAAGAAAAATGAAGAAGGCGGAGGCTGGGGTTAAGGCATAGCCAGGTCACGCATGAGCATGAAAACTGCTGCTCACGTGTGCTGTGTCACGTGGCCATGCAGGAACCCATGCACAGTGCAGCAGGGATCGGAGCAAAACAGTTACCTGCAGTGAAGCACACTTCCTCTCCTCACTTCCATCCCCAGCCCGACTGCGAGAGCTGGTGGGCAGAGCTGGGCCCAGGGAGGAGAGCAAATCCAACCCACGCAAGGAAGCTAGTGCTCCTTCCCCTGCGTCCACCTGCAGCAGAGCCTGCTCCACTCATGCTTTGCTTTCTTTCTCTTTGCAGTGGAAGAGACTCAAAACAACACGCTTTACGCTCAAGTCGGCTTTAATCCGTCGGTGAGTCTTTGCAGGGGAATCAAGACCAGGTGAACAGGTTGGGGAGACACAGCCAGAGCAATGGCAAGGATGGGCTGATGCCAGCCATGAACTTGGGTGGAGATGCCAGCCACGCCAGAGCTCTCTCTAATGGTGGCAGCCTCGGGGAAGCTTTCATGAGCTCCTTTTTGGATAATTCCTGAGCAGAGCAGCAGGTAGCCCTTGGCCCCAGCAGTGGAAAAGCCTAGGGCTCTTGAAGATAATGTGTTTTGCTGCCACCCTGCTTTCCCGTTGCAAAGGGGCCAAGTTAACAGAACCAGGCCTCTACTTGGGCTGCATGGGGTCTCGCACCCAGCATCCACCTTGGCACCCTGGCCAGCCTTCCCCTGGGCCTCGGCCTCCTTTGTTAGTACCGTGTCCCATCCCGTCCTCACCTGTGCTGCAAACTTCCCTAAAGACCATCATTAATGGGTGTTTTGGCTGGGGTGGGGGGATTCTGGCTCTTCTTTAGGCTCCCAGGAAGCCGAAAAGGTCAGGAGGGAATGGCGCTGTGAACAACGAGAACCCCATGACCATCTATGCCACTGTCCAACCCCAGAGCCAGGTAGGACCTGAGCCCTTGGGCTGCACATCTGTCTGATACATGCCTCCTTCTCCAGACTGGCGGGGGTAAACTCAGAATTGGGGGAGGACAGGGATGCTGATTTAGGAGGGAATAACAATTACCTGGGCAGCGCTGTGACCGCAGCCACTGGTTCTTCAACACGGCAGGCCAGGTCCATGCAAAGAACAGCAAGGAGACCGCAAAGGGCAGAGCATCAGCCTCACAGAGCAAATCTGGGCACCCCAGGGCTCAGGACAGCACACCTACAGCACAGCTCTGTCCTCTCTCCATCTGATCCCAGCACAGCCCTCTACCAGGGGTCCAGGGGCAACTGCACCACCCAGGAACGGCACCCCAGCATGTACAGGCGCACACACACACACACACACACACACTGGGAGGGTCTGCCAAGGAGCTAGCATATTCCCTCCATCCTACCAGATCACTAAACAAGGGCCAGACTTCCCTTGCCTTCATGGGTGGCCAAATCCTCTTGGCCCAAAGTGTGCAGCCAGTGCAGAGGAGGCCACCAGCTCCACAGGAGAGTACGGTGTGCAAAGTGGCAGGGGATGACCCCAGCTCCTTGCACGTGAGAGCACCCACTCCCTTTCCTGGCCTGGGAAGCAGCAATGCAGCAGTTACTGGACTAGGGTGACATCCTGGCCCTAGCGACAGCAACTTTGGTGAGGACCAGAGAACTTGAGAGAGCCATGCGCCCTGCTCCAGGCTGCTCAGTGCCATGGCTCCTGACTGCCCCGCTCCTTTCCCCGCAGGCTGCCATGCAGACAGACGATGAAAAGATGTGCAAGGGAAACACAACATCCCCACATCAGAAGGAGAAGCAAATCAACTGCACCGACGAAATGCCCCCTGGGGTGAGAAGCATTTGCATCTCATTATGGCCTTGCACACTCCAAGGACAGCAACCCCGCGGCACGCTTAAGCCAGCAAGGCCCTGGGAGGAGAGCGCAGGGGAGGCGGGGGATGGACGCGCCCTGATGTCAGAAAATCCAGGCCCCACGTTCCATGGAAACGAGCTGGGTTTCAAGTCATAGCTGGGATAACCCTGGAGACCCAGGGGCCAGCTGACATGCATGACAGTGTCTCATGGAGCAGCAGATAGCTTGTGGGATCTGCTCATTTTCCCACTTCCCCGACCCGCTGGAGCATGGGGCAATTCTTTATCTCACAGGGCTCTTTTTCCTGCCTGCAAATCAGCCACCAACATGCACAATGTCGGAAGTGGACTGTTAGACCATGAATTATTAGACAGCAAAGCCAGGGCTTGCCTGTCTCTCAGCAGAAAGCACTTGGATTATGTCTGCACAGCCGATGGAAGGGCTGAACATAGCACATGCCAGCCCTGATAGCAACAGCGATAAAGATGTGGCAACACAGGGCTTAGCATATAGGAGGAACTAAAATACAGACCCCTGCCCTCATGTCTTCTCTGTGCCAGCTAGGATACACTACAAATCACCTGCACTTTGCAGTGCAGGAGACCCCCAGTCGCAAGTCAGTCTGCCTGGCAGTGACAGAAGTTAATTTTTAGGTGCACTGGAAACCCAGATTCAGCATGGTAGAGGCAATATCTTTTCTTAGACCAACTAGACAGTTGCAAAGAAAATTTGCTTTATTTGCAAGTTTTCAGGCACACGTGCCCTTCCTCAGGCACAGAAGAATGCAAAGATTGTAACATTTCTCCCCGGTAGAAATGAAAATTGATATTGTACAGGAGAGCTGGGGGGTGGTGGAAGTTTTCCTGGCTGGAAAAGTTCATTTTATGCAAACTAGGCTCGCGTACAAGTTGGAGCAGTGTATTCATCTCAGAGGTGTCTGATGGCAAGCAGGATGTTGAATGATGCTTCTTTCCACCACCCTCCAGCTCTCCTGTACAATATCAATTTTCATTTCTACCTGGGCAAATAATTACAATCTTTACAGTCTCCTATGCCTGAGGAAGGGCGCGTGTGCCTGAAAGCTTGCAAATAAAGCAAAACTTTGTTTGCAACTGTCTAGTTGGTCTAAGAAATGATATTACTTCTGCCACACTGACTGCTTGTACTTTTAGACCAACACAGCTATAACCTTTATCCCTGGAAACCCAGAGACCTTCTCCTCCTCTCTGAGGCCTTCAAGTCACAGGGTCAATGACTCTAACATTTCGGGGGAGCTCAAAGCGGTGCTGGCCAGTGAAACAGCTGGGGATTGCCAGAGCTCAGCTGCCCTGACACATCCCCACATGTTCTCCCCACTCCTCTGCTTTTGTTGGGCAGCGGCCCCTGGGCTGGTGTTGTGTCCTGCAAAGCCTGGCATATGATAGCTTTGATACCTAGTGCAGCATAGGCATGTCAAAGTTGGGGGTCCCCTTTGGCGGGGGGTTGTGTGGGGAGACCAGCACCACCCTTCACTTTATGATGCGTCTTTGCTGACATTAATATTTCTGCTCTTGGGGTTTCTTTCCGTGCAGACACAAACCCTCCCAATGCTGTAATAGCTCTGCCTGGACATGCAAGAGCATACCAGAACAAGACAGTCTACATACCAGCCAGGGAAATGGATACGTGCAACAATGAAGAAGGCCAAGATTCATTTCCAGCTATATGCTTTATCTACCTCAAATCAATTAAGACACTCAGAAAACCCATCCAGAACTTCACAGGACCTGTTTTGCCTTCCTGTGACCTTTGTATGAAAAAAAATGGTTATGCAGCTTTTAATTGGGTGTCCTATGGTACCATCATTGAGCGGAGAGCAGGCCTGGAAAGAGAAGGTGTAGGACGGTTTGTATTCTCCCGCTGTTGCCAGAAAAGGGAACATTACTGGGGCAGAGAGACTGAAGGAATGAGAAAAATGACATGTGGAGGAAAGACGATAGCCCTCCATGCAAGCCACAAAAGGCATGTGCGACAGGCAGTACAATGGACAAGAGGTACAGAAGGACTCTGCTCACTTTTATGGAGACTTTTAAAAATTTTTATTAATTTGCTGATAAATCTGGCTGCTCCGCTCCACTCTAACAGTGAAGAAGTTTCCAGATATCCAATCTAAACCCACCTTGCTGCAGCTTCAAGCCATTAGCTTATGTCCTCTCTGCAGCAAGAGAGAAAAAGCTGCTTTCTCTCTTCTCTATGGCAACCCTTCACGTATTTGAAGACTGATATCATGTCCCTTCTTAAGTGCCTTTCCAGCAGCTGAATGTGCCTCTCCTTGTATGATTTATCTTGCAAGGCCTTGATCATCTTGGTCATCTTTCTTGCTACCTCTGGACCCTCTCAAACTTTTCCATGTCCTTTTTAAAACGCGGAGCCCTGAACTGCACGCCAAATGCGGATGAGGCCAGGTAGAGAGGCACTGTCACCTCCAGCGAATTGCACCAAATGCTTCTATTGATGGAGCCCAAAACCCCATTTGCATTTTATGCAGCTGCATTGTAGTGCAGACTCATACTGAGCCTGTGGTCTACCAAGACTCTCAAGTCCTTTTCCCTAGAGCTGACATCCTGCCCGGTATCCCCTATTTTGCACCTGTGTTTTCAGTTATTCCCCCAGAGATGCAGCCCCTTCATTTGTCCACATTGAACCCCATCCAGTTAGCTCTAGCTCAGCTTTCCTATCTGTCGAGATCCTTCTGAATTGCACTCACATCCTCCCCCACGTTCACCATCCTCCCCAGTTTCATGCTGTCTGCAGACTTGAAGCTTTCTATGCCACCATCCAAATCATTAATAAACACATTGAATGACACTGTGGTCAGGACACAGGGCCAGGCTTAGGTCCCAGGCTTAGGCTCTTTCATCAGCAGATGCTAGGGTCCTTGCACTTAACCTGTTACCCTTCCCAGACCCCTGCCCTTGATTGCTGCCCCTGTCCAACTGGTCATTTGTGTCTCTGACTGCCTGGCTGTTTTGAATGGAAGCATTGGGATAGACTGAACACATCATGTTTGACCCCGGGGGGGGCACAGATATTAGCATCCCCATTGCACAGAGCGCTGAATATCAAAATGTCAAGGGCTCAGCACCCCAAGAGCCACTAGGTACCATCAGTGGGACAGAAATCATCTAGCTCTGCACTGCCAGCACCCCATCTCAGCCCTGTTATCTAACTAAAAATGCCCCTAAGCCAATGCACTTGACCTGTCTGCTTGTTACCTTTGTAAAAGCAACACACGTATCCGTGCTCCTATGTCACGGGGGTCCCTGGGTTCACACTATAACCTAGAGACCAATTACTGCATTCGGGGCTAACAGTAAAAGTGAAATTGTGTTATTTAAGTTGTCTTTGTAATGTGTTAATTAGATGATATTGGAGCTGCAAAGACGCCATCCATGTATGTTAGCAAGACTGTTAGCAAAGGAAAGACTTCCAGCTGGCCCAATCGATGCCCTGCCTTAGAGCTCTCTTGGGCCTGGACATGGGGAGGTATGTGGGTACGGGACCTAATCTGAGACAAAGATGTAATGGGGTCTGAGGGTGAGAGGCTAGCGATGAGGTGCCCCATTAAAAGCAAAAGCAATTAACCCTGGGAGCCCCAGACTGCTGGGAATGGATGTATCCCTGCCACTTGCAGGGAATAGTCATAGAGAAGTCATGCTGGAAGGGACCCCCAGAGATCATCTAGTCCAGCCCCTGCCTGAGGCAGGATCGCCCCTACCCAAACCATCCCATACAAATCCATAATCTAACCTCTTAGTAAAACTACTGTCAACCCTGACACAACACAAGACATATCACCCTCACCTGCCACAGGTAGAGCGGGGGGACCACAGCAACCAGCGCGCTGCTTCTGTCCATCACCTCAACTCTACATAAGACGACACAACGCAGACCTAACGCCTTCCCCTGCCACAGCTGAAGCAGAGAAACAGCAGCCAACGTCCTGCTTCTCTGAAAGGCTGTCATGCTCGCTGCAGGCTCAGGAGATCCCAGGCAGAGGTCACACTCCCCACTACAGAGGAAGGCAACCCCCCCCCCCCCAGTTCATAGCAGTTTGAGGGCACAGTTCCTTCCTGTCTCTAAATATGGGAATTGGTCTGACCCTGAGTGAAGGGGTAAGTCCCTGATCCCAAATCTGGCCTCAGCCTGCCTGTGAGCAGAGGGACAGGACCCTCTAGCTTGGAGCCCCTGGCATTAGTCCATCTTCCCCCCGTTTTCACAGGGCTGCCTCCTGGCAGCATAAAGCCAGAGCCCCCGGCCTGGGCTGGAAGCCTGCAGGTGCCTTGACGGGGACAGGGCTCCCGGGGCTGGCGCAGCGCCCGCTCCCAGCAGGTGCAGGTGCAGATGCAGACGGCGGGACGAGGCAGCCACAGCAGGAGGGGGAGCCCAGAGTGCCCAGCTGAGCCGGGGTGAGATGGGTGCTGTGGCCTGACAGCTGGGGCTGGAGCCGGGGCGGCGGATTGCATCCCGTGCATTGCCCAGAATGAACCAACCGTGGTACATGGCCTCTTCGTGACTCATGTGCTCCCTGATGGATGGTGCCCAAGCCATTCTTCCCCTTCCCAAACGAGCCTGAGACATTCAGTGAGCAACATCCCCAAGATGGGCCTGATGACTGGGCACCCTGACGAGCCTTTTTTCCCACCTCTCTTGTGCCCAGCCAGCTCACCCCCTCCGTGCTACCATCACCCTGATTGCTTTCCTGCTGCCCCATCCCTTTGTGCTATTTAAGAGGGCACAGTCCTCAGGATAGAGCCTGTCTAATCTATTTGTACAGCACCTAGCACAAAGCAGCCCTTCTCTCAGTGGCTGCCATAAGGAACGTTTTCAGCAAGACTGCCACGGACTACAGCCCCGTCCCAGTGTCTCTTCTCCCTCCAGCTGGAAGCTGAGCCCCGCCAGGGCAATGTTAGCATTACTGGACTCCTTTGGAGGATGCTGACAGCTTGCAGCCAAAAAGGGGAAGGAAGATTTTGTGAGTGCCTCTGTAGATGAGGCCGGCAAGGCATGGAGCCCAGAGGGAGAAGGATATGGCAGGTCTGCATCGCGGTGCTGTGCGCTGGAGCCGGTGAGTCCAAAGCTGGGAACTGGGTGGGAGCACGGGGACCGTTTTATGGCCAACGGGTTGAGCAGCGGCCCCTTCCCCGAATTCCCCAGCGTGCATGGTCTCACAGGATGCAGCTGCACTGCGGGTTCTCAATGCAAGCTAGTGCTTCTGGCAAAAGACACCTGCAATGAAATTAGAGTGGGGCATGGGAGGCAGGGGCCTGAGTCCCCCTTTCCAGCTCTGGGAAATGCATGCGGGACACAGTCTGGAAGGGAAGAGTGGACTAGTGGTTAGAGAGGGGGATATTGGCAGCCCTGGGAAGGGATTAGGAGCAATGGTGGCTGCAGGGCTGAGCCCAAAGAGAAGATCTCTGCTCCCTGATACCAGCCCTCCTTCTGCTGAATGATGCTATGGGAGAGGGTGAAGCTATCCAAGCTCTATGTGAACCTGTGCACATCTGGGCTGGCTGCTGGAACTCCCTTCACTAGTGCAAGCCCTGGAAGAGGGGATTCAGTTCAACTCTAAAGACCATCCTGTCTACACTCCCTGGCATTTAGCTCTCCTGCAGCAGGGAGATGAGAGCTGAGCATTGCTTCTGGCTTGCTCCCAGGCTCCCTGACCTCAACATCCATCCTCCAAGATTAGGCCTGGACCTGTGCTGCCCCCTTGCTTCAGCTGGGGGTTGCAGAACATCCTGCCCTTGCATTAGAGCCGTTAGGAAAATTGCCCAACTTCCCACCGGAGCCATAAGCCCCACATAGTTGCCACTGATGACCATGACCTAATAAAGCAGAAGCTTGCCGCTTGGCTTTTGTAATTCAGAGGAACCGCCGGAAGGGTGGGGAAGGTCACGATGGTTCAGTTGAGCTGCAATTTGGGTTGAGAAACTTCTTGGAGATGATTTTGTGCTAAACCTCATATAGAACTGTGTTTGTGCAGAGGGGGCTAGACTGAGTGACAGGGCATGAGTCCTCCCTCACAGGCTTCTGGCCAAGCAGCTTCGTGCAGAGAAACTGGAGATAGGATGTGGAAATCCTAGGGGCAGCTAGGTGAACACACAGTGCTGCATCCCTGATGGGTGGTGGGAACCTATCCTGCCCTGGCAGCATCCAAGCCAGATGATCCAGCCTTACACCCAAGACGCATCCATCACTCTGCTTTTTTGGAGCAGGGATAGGCCAGCCTGCCATGTATGTGCCAGAAGTAGCAGCCTCTGTGCGTGGCATGCGGCAGGAGGAGAGGGGACAGGCAGATGGGGTAGGGAGCTGAAAGCAAAGCAGCAGATCAGGGAATGCTCATTTGTAGCACACCTGCCAAAAAGGTTGGTCCCCACTGCTCTAGAGCATAATCTTGCATCTATCTGGGCTCCTGGGGTAGATGCAGGGGGTCCCCACAGCACTACATCCCATAGCTTTCACCATCGCCATTGAAGGACAGCCGTCTTGCTGCAATGTCTGAGCCCCTACCCTACCCAGATGCTGATAGCCCCTACCCTCTTGCAGTGGGTCATGGTCAGCCCCAGGTGCAGGGAAAGGCTGATCCCAGTGATCACATGGAGATAGAAGCCATCTGGGCAGGTCCCTGCTGGGATTTTACAGTGGTGCCCAGCTTGCGCATGAACTTGTGGGGAGTGAGGACACGGCTTTAGCTGGGCTGTAATGACACAAGCTCATTGCCCATGTCTCTCCACCCTCTCCATAAGGTGGAACTTATAGGGCGACAGGTGCCAGGGTCAAAAGTAACTGCAGCACCCCAGGGCCCTTCCCCTTGCACCCTTGCCAGGGCAGTGCAAAGAGTTCAGGACACAAGCAATAATCAGGACCACATATCACGATGTGCTCAGCTTCCTGCCACCTCCAGCAGGAAGACACATGATGACATGCATGTGATGAAGCACCAGATGGTATCAGAGCCCCTGCGAGACAAGCACGCGGTGGCTCACCACACATCCTGGGGAGCTGCTGCCCAGCCCAGCAGGGTCCTGGGGATGCCCAGCACCAGGCAGGATGCTAAGGCTCCAGACCAATAACCCCTGCTCTCCTTACATAGCAGGTGGGGTAGGTGATTCCTGGTGTACCGATGATGTGTGGACACGCACGTATGCCCATGTACATGCATGCACACATGCATGCCCATACACACACAGACACACCCACGTATGCATGGACTGTGGCGCACTCCGGCCCCTAAGAACGTGCCACTGGGGTCCCAAGGGATATGGGAGCGCAGGAGAGATGTATGAAGCCACCGCTCCCCATGCTGCCCTTGTGAAGCTGATATTTAGAGGCTCAGCCACGAGCATCCCAGAGGGGCTTTGAGGAGTAACCGCAGCAGCTGAGCAAGGGTGTTCAGGGCCCAGGACCAGAGGCTGGGCCTGCTCACCCACCAATCCATCCTAGCACTGATCTCAGTCCACACAATGGTGCCCTTGCCGCCTGTTATGGAGCACCTCCAATATATAGTGGAGCAAGGAAGAGGGGAATTGAGCTCTGACCCTCAAGAGACCAAGCACATGTCTAATGATCCCACCTTTTCCTTTGCACTTGAAACCCTGAGTCCTCAAGGCTGCAAGCTTTAGCTCTCCCCATCTATCAATTCCCACACAAGCCCTTTGCACACTTGCACAGAGCCAAACATTTTCCTCACACTTTCAGGACCATTTCTTCTGTTATGCACAGACCCTGAGACCCAGGGCAGTCAACAGCATTTACAACCAGAGCCTGCTGGATAGCACAGCAGGTTAGCTTAGATTTGGCAGACAGCTGGATGGCACAGGGCTAGAGGGAGATGCCAGGGGCTGTGCCAGCTCTGTGCAAGCCTGCAGCACCTCCATGGCCAGGACAAAGCTCAGCTGGTGACAGCTGAGAGAGCAGCCTGGGATACACCAGATGCTTGCTGTCACAAGGCATAGATAAGTGCTTGTATGGGAGGGTCTGATGTAGCTTTGAGCAGGGGTTGGACTGGACAGGACCTCGGGAAGACCCTGCCAGCCCAATTCTGCTGCGATCCTGTGATTTTATGCAAACCTCCTAGGTGACCATGGACAGGTTTGTGCTGCGACTCATTAAATTAGGGTCTGGGGATTAATAACCTCAGTGATGGAGAGGGATTGTGGGCTGATACTGCATTTAAACAGGGTCCCAGTCTCCTGACCCGGCGCTGGCACTGCTGCCTGCTTACCTGCCACCGGCTATTTTTTTTACAGTTACAAGAGCAGAGGTAAAGGCATCACCCCCAAATACCGGGCAAGTCAAACACATGCCAGAACCGGAGGGAGACTTCAACGGGACAACAAAGGAAACGGCCAGAAACACAACGTGGATCCCAACCACTTTGGCTGGCCCTACAGAGGGCTCCACGGATGCCTACACTGTGAACAGGGGAGACACGACTGCAGACAACGCCAGTAAGTCCTGGGAAGGGGTGGGTCTCAGCCACCTGTATCTTTGCAAAAGGGGTTGGGCAAACCTCCCCAGCACCCTTTGGGAAGCAGAAAGGCAAGGACCTACTTAACATTGCACAACCACGCGTCTGCCCAGCCAGGGAGAAAACCCAGGAGTCCTGCCCCTGGCAGCTGTCACCCACAGACATCCCTCCCCCCCACAGCTCAGCTGCACCCATTGGGGCTGGTTTCAGATCTAGGCTCTGCTCTGTTGCTCGTTAACTGGTGCCAGGTGACGGCTGGTTTTAATCCTGGTGCTCTCAAGACAGTTGGGGTAGCAGGACCCACATCTGAGATGATAGCACTTTGCATGAGTGTCGGTGACAATGGGATGCAGAACACAAGAAAAGGTCTGGCCCCTTGCAGCACATGTCATTATTAACCAGCTAACGAGGAACATGTTACGGTTTCATCCATGCAGCAGGCGGCCCCCCAAATGGCTCCTCCCAAATGGGTTTGATCTGTTCTTGCCCCTAAAACCAGAGAGGATCCCTGGTGTGCCGGATGCCTTCTGCATGGGATGCACCCTGGAAATTACTCACTCGGCTGCTCTCAGGTGGAGCTTGCAGAGAAACCATTCACAAAACCCCGGCCCAAGCAGAGACCAATGGCTCAGCAGATGAAATGCACAGCTTTGCCAAGAGATGAGGGGCAGCTGCAACAATTTCCCAGTGATGGTTCTCTGGGACCATCCTAATTGCATAAAGAAAACAAGAGAAAATCCCGGGACACACAGGGTGTGTGTGTTATACAGCCCTTCCCGAGCTGGGGAGCAAGCACGGGCAGTCCTCCGCTCCCCCGGGAGTTTGCTCAGGGAAACCCTTTAATTGTATTAATTGCACCTACTGCAGAGAAGGACTCAGATCCCACCATGAGCTGCCAGTCAGAGCTCTGCTCACTGCTCAGCCAGGGTCAAGCAGAGAGCCAGGAGCCAGGGAGGATGACCGGAGTAGCAGGGGCACACCTAAAGTAGCACTGTTCCCATCCACAGCCTCAGTTTACCTTCTAACCCAGCCTGCACTTTAACCCGTCCCACCCTGCAGCTGGTTTATTCACCCAGCAAAAGGCAGGGTACAAATGCACCTTATAGAATAAGCAGATAGAAGACGCATAAGCTTTCAAAGCAGACAATCCCCAAATCAAGTCTCCATGAAGCCTCAGCTGGGTCCCAGCCCTTGGTGCTGGGCTTTCTGACATGCCTCTTAGCACCATCTCCTGGTCAAACAGACAAGGCACCCTTGGGAAACATGGTAGTGGGGCTGCCCGCACACATGCCCAGCGCAGGAAAATCCAACACCTTCATCGGCGAATTAAAACGTACCTCTCCAGAAGATGAGGCAGGTCCTTTAGCCCAGCTGGGTGCTCCAGGTGTCTAGGAAGCAGAGCCCCATCTCCGCAGGTGACCCCCTCCTTGTGGTTGCCCAGCTAGCCCTGAGCCAGGGCTTTTATAGAGGGCTCAAGTACCCAGGATCCTCAGCTGAGCATTCCTGAAAGACTGGCAGCTGGGATGACCAACCAGCAATCTTCCCTTCACTTTGGCTCTCCCTGAGGCCTTCAGGGATCTGCAAGGATGTCCATGCTGGACCAGACTTCCCAGTCTCCAGCGTGTGGTCTTCTCTAGCTGCTGGGGATGAGCTGAATGCCTCAAAGAGCCAAGCTGGGGACACCTGGCCCCTAAAGTGGTGCCCTGATGTGGAGCAAGAGTGAAAAATGCTGTATCTGGTGCCGGCCACCCCATGTGCAGTCCATACATGGACAGGTCATGCATGTCCGGTTCCGTGCCAGCCACCCCATGTATAGTTCATACATGTCCAGCTCAGTGCCAGCCACCCCACGTACAGCTCCTACATGTGCAGTTTAGACATATATAGTTCAGTGCCAGCCAGAATCACCTGAGTGATGTAGGAACTCAAATCCCACTGGAAACTAAAGAGATTTAGGTGCATTTGAAAATGGGGTTTGGCTGCCCAGCTCCCTCTCCAAACACCTCTTCCTCTCCTAACAAGCCTCGGGGGACATAAACGTGGTGGGAACATGTTCTGGCCTGCAGGCGGGTTCCTGAGCAAAGGGGTCACAGCTTGGGGGGCAAGAGCTCCAGCATCATGTCCCTGCTGGGGCACTGTTGTGGTCAGAGGTGTCTGCAATGCTCCCTTCCTGTTAAGCGTGCCCCGGCACATGCAACAGCCTTGGCTGCATCAGTCTGTGGTCCAGGGGTTACAGTGATGGGCTGGGGCTACCTGGGTCCTAGGCAAAACTCTGCTTGGATCTGCTGCAGGGGGGAGTCTTTACCCAGCGAGCGAGGGGAGTCTTTTCCCTCCAGCTCTCTCTCTGCACAAGTGCTAGAGAAGAGGTGGTCTCCACAGTGCTGTGTGATGGGGACTCATGCATACCCTGAACTCAAAGCAGTGGCTGGGTTGATGGCTCAGCTCATCGTATGATTGCTGTGGGGCTGCGTGCTCACAGCCAGGGACTGCCCTGGACTCCTGCGGATTTGCACTGCCAGAGCTGTGCACTTTTGCACCTGCTGAAGAGTGGGCCCTCCAGCAGGGTTTTACCCTCTCCCGGGGACTCATTTCTTTCCCTCTTCCTTTGCAGAAGTTTCCAGCTCCATCTCCCCCAAGTACTGGTCCCCCATTATCTTTGTGGTGCTCGCCTTGATCGTCCTGTTCTTCACGTACCGGAGGAAACGCGGGCGAGGTGAGGTCTGGGCAAAAGGCCCAGGCAGACTCGCTGCTGCTCTCACGGGGCTTTCTTTGCCCCTCCCTACTGGCTGCCCCTGACTATGCACCCTCGAACCCGGCACCACTGCCAGGTCCTAGCTGCCTTGGTGCAAATCCAGGCTAACCTCCGGCGACTCGAAGTTTGCACAGCCCAGGTCAGATCCTGCCTGGCTCCCATTGCAGCCACTCCAAAGTGCCTGCACTTGGAGAATCCCCCCTGCTGCTGGTCATGGGTGGGTCTTGGACATGGTGAGCTGGTCCCAGTCCCACCAGGAGTGGGCAGCACTGTGCCCGCACTTCATTTCACAATCTGGAGTGAATAAAATCCAGATTAAAACCACACCTGAGTGCCTGCAGCCTCCACCCCCTCTATGCCCCCAGGGTGACAAATGCAGACAAGCGTGAAGAACTGTTATTTCCCTGGTTATTTTTACTCACCACTTCCTTCGGTTTTGTTCCTCAGGCACCAGCAGCCGCGCAGCGTCCATGGCCGAGTCCTCAGGTATGATTCAGGCCTTGATCTATGCAGGGGGAGGCCCATCTCCATGGTCTCTGGCCACCTCTGCATCATGACGACACGGTGGCTTTCAGAAGGGGCCCAGTGGTTTAGGAGCAGGCATTTCATGGACTCGCCACATGATGCTAGCTCCTAAACCTGATAGGCATTGGGGAAACCCAGCCCCCTTATCAGCCCTTTACTGTGCATGACAGGGGAAAGGACGATAGCAGCCCTGCCTGTCGGCACCTCCTGGCTCCCCCATGAGAGAGAACACGTACAATGAAAAGCACCACAAATGCATTTAAGGACCTCTGTGGTTTTCAGCTATTTGCAGTGGGGAGCATGGGTGGAAAAGCCCATCTGTCTTTCAGGACTTCCTCTCTCCCGTTTTCCTATTGGTGCTGCCGTGCTAGGTGCTGCACATGTTTTGACTTCCCAGGGCCATCTCGACTTAGTATGGGAGTGCCAGGAGCTGCACAAACAGAGCAGCATGTGGGGCAAAGCCCTGAGAGGTGCCTCAAACTACCCTTGAAATGGAGGCACTAAGCTATGGGGCTGGCGAACGCAGCAGGTTTGGGGCACTTGCTTTCATGGCCTCACTGGTTCTCTCACTGTGCATATCCCCACGCTGCTCCCTTGCCTTGCAGACTCCGACATGCCCATTGTTCCTGACCCCGACCGGCACCGTGTTTCTCACCAGGAAAAAAGCTCATCCTTCCCAGGGAAGCAGGTACAAGTTCCCAGATCTCCTCCCCCGCCAGAGAAGCAGCTGGGAGCTTCACCTGCTGGCACACAGCTTTTCCAAGACCCTAAGTGGAGACCTTAAGTGGAGTGGGGTCTTTGCAGTAGGGTTGCACAAAAACACAGGCAGGGCCTGAGCTGATCCCAGGGGAGCAGCATCAAGATAACATTGGACTGGGACGGGCGCACATCCCATTCTCAGGCCCAGATCCACACAGCGCTTTGGTACCTAACTGCTATGGGCACCAAGTGCGTGCAGGGACCAGGCCATAGCACTCATGGAAGCGGTGCCCAGTGGTTAAACCATGCAAGCGGTGATCTGGGTTGCAAGCTGCCCACATCCCCTGGAGACTTTGGGGTGGCAGTGGCTGCATGGGGGTGACCCAGCACTGCTGGCACTGCCTCTGTGCTACACCAAGCTGCAGAGACTGTCCTGCTGTAGCTCCTCTTTTGCTTCACCCCAGAGACCGACGGACACAGGGACGCCAGTGGCAGAGACGTCTCCAAGCCCAGAGATGATGGAGTCAGTTTTCTGCGAGCCATGCTCATCCTCGTACCAGGTGAGCGGTGGGTTGGCACAAGCAGGTCCCCCAGCATGAATCACTCCACGTTGCAGCCTTCCAGCCCCTCTATCCCATGACCTGCTGTGTCCCAGTGACTGGACACCAGCCACATGGTTTCCATGCTGGGGGGACCGTCCCCCGGCTCTGCTTGGGGTCACCTGGCTTCTGGTCCAGGCAATCCCATGCCTGCAGTCCGGTTCTCACCTCTGCATCCCAGGATTGCTAGCTCTGTGCTAGTTTTGCAGCTTGCAAGGTGGCAGAGAGCCCAAGCATGGTGTTGGCAGCTGGGGGCCTCCTGCTGCGGGGCACGTGTCTCCTTTCTGCCGGGCCTGATTTTGCTTCTCTTATTTAACAGGCTGCCGTGTCCATAACAGCTGAAGTCTCTGACAGCTGTCCCAGGACCTCAGGGGGTGATTAAACCTCCCAGCCCCTCTCCCTGGACTGAACATAGAGAAACCAAAAGGATTCTTATGCAGCCTCTGCCCACTGGCCCCAGCACCCCTGACCAGTTTGTACCCACTGGAGAAGGACAACTGGGAAGGCGACACTCCCTCCTTACACAGCACTGCTCATCATGCTGCATGGATGGTGGTGAGGCCCCATTTCACAGAAGGGGAAACTGAGGCATAGAGCAATGAGGTCCGAGACATGACTAGCACGTGTGCTGCCTTGCCCTCACTGGCACAAACTCCCATAGCAGCAAACACATGGTAGCACCCAGGGTCCATGCCCAGGGCCCTGGGTAGACTCAGGTGGGTTGCAGCCCCTGCCACTGCATTTCACCCCCAGCATCACCTTGGTTGCATTCAAGTTGCAAACCAGCCGTTTCATGCTGCATTGATGCCCCCCATGCCTGGCCTGGAGCAGAGCGAGGATGCAAAGCCCAGGTCTCCTGTTAGGTAGCCTGGCACCGGACTACATTCCCTGCCTTTGCTTTGCCCACGGCTCCAACTGAGACTGAGCATGTGTATAAGTGATACTGAGCTGAGCAAGGGGATACGTTCTGCTGGGATAAAGACCTTGTCTTCCTCCTGCTGCGACAGTCCTGATGTTGGCAGGGCAGGGGAGCATATGTGCAGGTTGCTGGCTACTCCAATAAAGCAGTATTTCATGTCGGGGACCCGATGATCCTCAGCTGGGGGTTGCAGGCCTGCAGCTCTGTGTCCAAACCCAGCTCCTCTCCCCCTCCGCCTTCCTGGGGCCCGAACGCCCCCACAGACACTGCTCCCACCTGTCAGCAGGCAGGGGAGAAATGACACACATTACAGCCAAAGCTCTTCGCTTCCTCTCGGGCAGCACTGAAGCGTTCGCCAGAGCTGCCTTTTCCTCCCACTTCATCTCCGGGTCTTTGAAGAGTTGCAAAATTTGGGGTGGGGGTATCACCGCACTGGGGCCAGCTGGGACTTCCAGCTCTGTTGCTCTTTCGGTCTGAGTGACGGGGGATTCGGACTCCTGGGGGAATCGCCTGGGACCTGGCTGCTGATCCAGGAGGGGGTTTTGTAGCACACATGGACACGTGTGTGCCTGAATGGGTACATGCAAGAGCACACGCATGCATCTATTCTGTTCGTGCTGGTGTGATAAGCTGCTTCAGAGCAGGCAGGCTTCCTGTGCTTGTGGGTGTCTTTACTTAGTCTCGGTATGCACTGACAAGGTGAGATTCACACCTCCCCAGCGCTGGGGAAGTCCTGAAGGGTGGAGGATGGGAAACCAGCTCTCCCAGCCCCACTTCTCAGGGCTGGGCCACAGGAGTTGCTGTAGCCTAGAGGACTCCCTGCCTGTAATCCCTGCACCCGCTGGAAGCTGTATGCAAGGGGGGTGCTCCCACTCAAGCAGCTCTGTCCTTTGAGTGGGTCCAGATCATAGGATCATTGAAAATGAGGGTGGGAAGGAACCCCAGGAGGTCACATCTAGTCCAACCCTCTGCTCCAAGCAGGACCAGTGCCAAGTACATCATTCCAGCCAAGGCTTTGTCTACCTGGGTCCTAAAAACATCCAAGGATGGAGATGCCACTACTTCTCTGGGCAGCTTGTTCCAGTGCTTCACCACCCTCCTGGTGAGAAAGTTTTCCCTAATATCCAACCTAAATTTCCCTTGCTGCAATTTGAGCCCACTGCTCCTTGTTCTGTCATCGGCCACCATGGAGAACCATCCAGCGCCATCCTCTTTGCAACAAAAAGCTCTAGCCCCGGGGTAAATCAGAACGGCCTCCAAGCACTCTAACGGCCCGCAACCCTTTTGCATCAGTCCTCAGCTCCACGCAAGCCCCTGCCCAAACCACACTCAGCCTGTACAAGCCAGCAGCAAATTGGCACCCCCCTGCCAAGCTTGCACTTGCCCCCCCAGCCCAGCTCCCGTCACACCCAGCAGCATCCAGATGCTCCCAGCAGATCCCCGCAGTGGGAATTCATTCCCCTTGTCTGTGCTCCAGACCCTGACCTGGCTCAGCTGGTCCGGGAGGGCTTGGTCTGCACCAGCCAGTTGGAACAAGCTCGTTAGGCAAAACGAGCTGCAGACTGGGCCTCTGGGGCCTGTGCCTTCATCAGGCATTCGTCAGGGCTTCGTCTGCCTTTCAAGTGCGGATCTGTATTCTGCTCCCTGCTTGCCAGCCTGGCAGGAGCTCCCCTGAGCCCCCGCGGTGCACGCCGGATTCATTATGCCTGGGTCATCAAGTCTCCTTGGCAAACGGGGCAGGCTGGGGGCAGCAAGGCTGATGGGTGCTGGGTTTCCGTTGTCCCCATACACAGGGGACCTGCTGCCTTGCCGGTGCCCGGAAGCAGCTGGGTGCTGGGTGCATCGCCCCTGCAGTGGCTCCCTGGGGGAGCAGGACACCTAGTGGCTACACTGGGGAATGACAGGGTGCCACCTGCTCCCTTTTGGGCGCAGTCTGGTCCATAGATTTCATAGATTTCTAGGGTCGGAAGGGACCTGTTATATCATCGAGTCCGTCCCAGCACCCACTGCTGCCCTCTGCCCTCTGAGCCTCCCTCCCACTCCTCCTCTCCGCTCCCAAGGACTCTTCTCCCAGCACCGTTCACCCCTCCCACTCACCTGCTCCCTGACTTCCAGCTGCTGCACATCTGCACCATTCCCACATCCAGCATCTCACCCATTCCCTGCCCCTCGCAGGCTGCAGTCCCTCCACTGACTGTCTTCCTGTTTCGGGCACCACAACACACAGAGGATACAGGACATGCTCCATCCGCCGGGCCACACACTGTCCCAGATGTTTCATTCCCTCTCCACGGCCTGCAGGTCTCTGACGGGATGATTACTGAGCTCAGGACCACTTTACTCTCCCCACACAGCTGGAAAGGAGAAAGTCGGAGCTGCAGGATTGCAGTGTCTGGCTGACCTAGGCTGAGACCCACCTGTGGAGCAAGATCTGTAAGAAGGTGATATCAAAGACATAAGAAATGCCATTTTCTGGGCCAGACCAGTCTAAGGGGGAGAGCAGAGGCTAAGGGGGAAGGTGACCAGGGCATGTGCAATTTGCTTCTCTCCTGCTGCAACTTCCAGTGGTCAGAGGTTTAGGAAGGTCTGACTTAGAGGCAGCCTCTTTACCTACCACGTTCAATACCTACCAATGGTCCTTTTCTCCAAAAACCCGTGGGAGTGACCGGGAACAAGAAGCTGAACAGGAGCAAACTGTGCCCTTGTTGCCAAGAAGGCTAACGGCATCCTGGGCTGCATCGGTAGGAGCATTACCACTGCCGGTAGTTCAAGGGAAGTGATTCTTCCACTCTGTTCGGCACTGGGGACGCCACATCTGGAGTCCTGTGTCCAGTTTTGGGCCCCCCACTACAGAAAGGATGTGGATGAGTTGGAGAGAGCTCAGTGGAGGGCAATGAAAATGGTTCAAGGGCTGGGGCACAGGACTTGTGAGGAGAGGCTGAGGGAATTAGGTTGATTTAGTCTGAAGAAGAGAAGACTGAGGGGGATTGAATAGCAGCCTTCAGCTCCCTGCAGGGGGGTTGCAAAGAGGATGGAGCTGGGCTGTTCTCAGTGGGGGCAGATGACAGAACAAGGAGTAATGGGCTCCACTTGCAGCAAGGGAGATTTAGGTTGGATGTTAGGAAAAGCTTTCTCACTAGGAGGGCGGTGAAGCACTGGAACAGGTTCCCCAGAGAGGTGATGGAGTCTCCATCCTTGGAGGTGTTTAAGACCCGGCTAGACAAAGCCTTGGCTGGGATGATGCAGCTGGGGCTGGTCCTGCTTGGAGCAGGGGCTGGACTAGATGTGACCTCCTGAGGTCCCTCCAACCCTCATCGTCTATGATCCTATGAACTGGCCCAATTACCTCTGGGAGTAGATTAAGCCAATAACCCCCACCAGTTTTTCCAGCAATGAATCCACAAGTTAATTACTCGCTGTGTGAAAAAGCTCTCCCTCTGGTCAGGTGGAAGCCAACCGCTCCAGTCACAGTCACAGCTTCCACCCTCGAGTGAAGCAACAAGCAAGGGGAGAAAAAAGCAAAATGTCAAATGTGTTTATTTTATAAAAAAAAAGAAATTGTACAATTTTAATTCCTCTATTCATGAAAAAATGAAGGTCCTACACTGGCGGCGGCAAGGCCTCGATCCACTGCAAACTGTAAAAACAAGCTTTTTATATATTAAAAAACAATTTTACATTTTACAACTTTCTACACGCATGCACAACAGGTTGGCTCTGTAAAAAAAAGGAGGTGGGGGGGAATGTTCTCCTTAAACGTAAGAGTTGGGGAAAAAGAAAACCAAAGGAGTCTACGTTTACAACCTCGCTCCAGCCAAGAACCGGCTTTGTTTTTTCTTCTTTTTTTGCAGTTAAAAAAAAAACCCAACAAAATTCCTACCCCCGCAAACGTGACAGAAAGGAGCACATGGAGTCCGGGACTGAGCCAGGAGCAGTGTTGGCAAAAACAACCCCCCAGGGGCTTGGAGAAGGAGAGCACAAAAAGGCAGGTGGGATGGTATCAGGGTGTAAGTGGTGGAGGACAGATGTGGGCATGCAGCATCCTCTGCAAGCCAGAGGTTTGGCTTGCTCTTGGGATCTGGGATTTGGCAGGGCACGGTGCAGGGGGTGGCTGTCCCACAGCTGCAAGGTGCAAAGCCTCTGAGGTCGCGGTCAGACCCAGCGGCTTCAAGCAGCGAGGTGACCTGGGGTAGGAAGGGGGTGAAATTGGTGTGGGTACAAAGGCTGGACCCTTAGCTGGGGTTAATGGAGGTGCCCTACCCCAGGGACATGGCAGGGCACTAACGGAGGTGCCCACAAATGGAGATGTCCTACCCCAAAGACATGGTAGTGCACTAACGGAGATGCCCACTAACAGAAGTGCCCTACCCCAGGGACATGGTGCTACAAAGGGTAAGAGTTAGAGAAACTCCCTGAAGTCCTCACTATTGCTACAGGCTTCACACAGAAGAAGCCCAGAGACCGCGGTGATGGGCAGCAACGTACCGCCCTGCGGTGGGGACAGACAGGCATCAACAGGGTTGGCAGCTACAGCCTGGAGGGCTCTTAGCCGGCTTCTCCAGGAGGTCACACAAGTGGAAACCCCCTCACAACAGTGTCAAGGGGGACAGGGAGGGGATCTAGTCTTAAAACTAAAAAGAACAAGAAGCTTAAACATCACAGTCCTGACTTCCGAGGGCAAACCACTGCCACCCTCTCACCCCCCTCCTAGAAAATCACAGTCCTCAAATCCTCGCAGTGCTTCAAAAACCCGACAGACAGAAACAAAATCACAGTGAGGAAACCTGGCAGGTCCTACCGAAAAACAACCCCACACCGGGACGACACACGTGAGCACCTCGCACAGCACAGACGGCAGCACAATGACAGCCCCCCCCCACCCTCCCCGCGGCCCAGCCGGCGCGAAGAACCCCGTAGAAAACGCGTGAGGTATTTGCAACCCTAGACATAGAGATGCCGCGGCCAGGTCCGAGAGCAGAAACGACCAGAGAGAGGACCCCCGCCCGCCCGGGGAGAGCCCATCGTAATGTTTGCCCGGCTGTGCTGGGGTGGGCAGAAGGCAGTGCCCACTCTGCTCCCACCCCGGTGCAGACCATGGCATAGGCACAATTCATACAGGCCCATGGGCAGGGGGGTCCCATCGGAGTGATGGGCTGGGACGACGACTACACCGCGGGGACAACCAGAGATGCACACACAAGCAGGGGCCTGGCCCAGGGCACGACATGGACAGTGAGTGACCGAGCCTGTTCTCTGGAGAAAAAATCAAGGGGGATGGGGTGGGGAGGGGGAAACCTTCGGGTCATCGAGGCAATGGAGATGGAGAGGGCTCAGCTACAGACAGGAGCAAGCAGGGGCATGGGTGCCACTATCGCCAGCTATGTGCCTGCACAGACCGGGGACTGGATGCCTGGAGAGCCCTTTGCATTGCTCATAGCTGATGCCTGCATGAAAGCCCTTTTCTGGTGCTGGGATCCATGCAAAAGGGGCTTGACCGAGAGGAAGAATCAAACCAGGACATCGAAGGGGGACGGGACAGGCTTGGGGGTGGCAGTCACTGCTTAGAAGACACAGATCAGGTGTTGGATGGGGGTGAAGAGGGAGAGTTACCACTTAAAACCTCTTACTCTTCAAAAACCAGTTCTGTGTTGCTGCTGCTACGGGAAGCCCCGCGGGAGATCTTTCTGCACCAGGCTTCCGCAGGA